ATTATTTCTTACAGATTTATGGCTCTATAACTTTGCTACACTGTGCAAAATCCATGTTGGAGTTATTTCTACCTCTGCCTTCCACAGAGGTGCAGGACTTTATATTGCAGTGATAAATAAGCCCCCAGTGAGTGAAAAATATAACTGGAGAAGCAAACAACCAGAGGGTTAAACAAACACATTCTCTGCTGCCTGCAAAGCTCCCTCTGTAAATATTGAGGCAGCTATATGAAGTCGTGGATATACAGCTTGTTGAGTCTAAGAAAGGGACCGGCACAGACCTCCCCACAACTACAAGCAAGCGCGGTGACACAGCTGTTCGTGTCAGTTTATAGCTCTACCTGATATTATTCCTGGGTTCACTGTGCATGTGGATTCTTGGAAATCCCCCGTGGCACTGAGTCATTACCAGCAGTTACAAAGAACAGGGAAGTGGGGTTGGAGGGTGACAACAGATAGGTAGCAGAGTGGAAGATAAGGCAGCATGAAGGGTTTGTAGTTGACCACTGGAGCTTTTGATAAAGTCCACTCAGCACTGCCAACGCTCCCACACAAACGTTTTCCTCTCCAGGAAAAAAGATGTCTGACACACGCTGTGCACAAATGTATTATTACATTTAATAAAAAGAAAAGATCAATGTTTAGATTTCATTTCAACATGCTTCTATGTCAGCTTTTCAAATGTGTGCGTGCATGTGTGAGTCCCAGAGGAAAGGTAAAGCATTAACTAAGCTCCTCACACCGCGAACACATCGGCTTACCTCACCACAATATTTCCCAGGGTTCTCGGCTTCACCTCCCGCATGTCATCATCGATCACTGTGACTAGTGCAAAGGGAAGAAGAGCAATTCATATTCAGAGGTGGTGTATCACCCACTGGCAAACTGGAAGTGTAAAAAAAAAAAAAAAAGATTAAACATTCTGCAGGGAATTACAAGCAGTTGTTAAATTTTTATCCATTCCTGTTTCTGTATCTGTAAGCCGAGGGGGTGACGGTTTAAACATGAAGTAGGTTAAAATAACAGCCTGACGGAGATCAAATTCCAAATATATTAAATCAGCTATTTCTTTAGACTGATGTGTTCGTTGTGTGTTGTAACACTCGTCTCCTACCGTTGTATCCTGGAACTGGTTTGCCAGCCTGACCTGCAGGTGGCGTGAGCGAGTTTCCCAGGCCGACACAAGTGGAGGTGATGGCTGAGCCGGTTTCTGGTGAGACACAGAGAGAAGTATGGATTCATTAAAATTCTCACGCTATGAAGTCAAACCACAGGAGTTCTGGATCTGCAGCGTAATGCCACAGTTCTGAAGCAGCTTTCACAGCGTTCCTCCTGGACATGCAAACCTTTTGATAAGAGGCTGATCAAGAGCTTGTGTGGCATTGTGTTGCGCTGCCTCCACAAGCGGCATTAACCTACATTACACGAAACTATGACAGCTCCTATGGGCTCTTCCTGACTCCGCCACACATCCATGCTCCATTTTGCAGCGAAGGCTTTGCCCGGCAGGCCTTCTTAGCCCACCTAGCGAAAGAAATAACAGAATCGATCCAGCTTCGTAGATTACATCAGAAATCACACAGCAGCAGAGCAGCTCAGCATCAGCATCCGTCTTCGGTGTTAAATTTAAAAGCGCGGTCTGTGAAGAAACGGTCGGTGGGTGTTCATCAGGTTCTCTGCAGAAAAAAAAAAAAATACAAGAGCAGCGTCTGTGTTTTTTCATTCCTCCCCCCCTGAGCTCGACTTGTGTTTCGGTTAACATTATCTGTTCATTCATGCTGTCTGCGCGAGGGGTGAGATTAATCTTACCGAGCTTCATTTGGTGTTCAGTTAAACATTAGATTAGAAACGTGGCATTTCATTAACAGCCAGACCATGGGCTTACTGGCACGTACAGTTTACAAACAAGAGGCGACTAAAATGCCTCGTGCGCTGCCATTTTTCTCCACTAAAATGCAAATTTATGGACAAGCGCTTCCACATGGTAATCAGTCTTACCCTATGGGAAAGTGTGTAAGTATGATGTCTCCGTCATGCATTCTCGGTGTCACGGCGTGCCCGCAAAAACCAAATCAGGTCATTTATTACTCGGAGGATGGAGAGTGTACAATTTCAATCACGTATTCGTCTAAAATAGACAGTCAGCGGTGGCGCCGGCAGCAGAAGTGTCTTCCGAGAGGGCAAAGGCCAATGGCAAAACATTCAAGCTTGCGAGCCAGCTATGCAAATGACAGCTCAGTCAATACGGCAGTGATATGCAAAAAAAAGGAGCCACACACCCCTCATTAAACCTTGAGGGAAAGCTGCAGCAACACAGGACGCCGCCACTGTTACACACCTGTCAGCTAAAGCCAGAAAACAAGTGAGTAGAAGCGAAAACCTTGCCAGAGAAATTACCTGAAAACAAAAGGGACAAATGTTGCATCCAGAGTTAAAGGTGCCCTCTGGAGTTTCCTTGTCAACACACAGCGGTTCTGTTTACATTCAGGGTTTCTCATCAGAATGCACAGAGCGTATCCCTGACGTCTAACGAATGCATTGAATACACTCCCTTCCTCATAAAACATGCAAAACTTGTATTGTTTATATTCATGTTGACTTGTTACCGGTCTTCTTCCCTGTCTTGGCTGGGAAAGTACGGCTTCTCCTACATTGCTGCCACCTGTGTGCATCTGAGCACAGATTTGCATCTTTGTGTACATGGGAGAAAACAAACAAAACAGGAGGACGTACTCATGGAAACACCGGTACAACTGAGTGGTGTGCCACAGAGTAAGATTAATGGGTGGGCGAGGTATGTTGAGCCTAAAGCTTTAATGTCAAGAAGGTGGCCGTCTTTTAACATACTAGATCACCATGGTAACTGATGTTGGAAAGCTAACCTGCTCCAGAGTTTGGAGTTTGGGATTTAAATTGGCTGGAAGACGCAACACTCCTTCACGAATTCTTTTCCTAGATCGATTCTGAACAAATGCATAGCCGTCCAGTAGCGAAGATGTTATGTGTCACGTTGCCACGGGAACCTGCATGCCTTCAGTCGGTGATGCAGAAAAAGCATAAATATGTTCCTATGCTTGGTGCTGATTTGCTAAGTCCGTTTAACACTGCTGGTTCCGCAGCTAATAGAACGCAGATTAGAAAATTGATGATTCTATCTGTGTTTATCACAGAAAACAGTCCATCAATACCATTAGTTTGTCTTTGATTTGGCCAAAAGCTGAAGTGATTTCCAACTATCCATCATTAAAGGACTGCGTCAGACCTTAATGCACTTGTTGTGTATCATGTTTAAATTAACGAAGTTTAAAGTTTAAGCGCTTTAATGTTCAGCCGTCATGTTAGAAACAAGCAGCTACATTCAGAGTGCACTGAGTGGTAGAACAGATGTATTTACTTTAACAATTAACAAATATCTACAAGTATTCCTAGCTTGCATAATTTTCTGTAACAGTGCTTTTTATCGTAGCAAATTTTTACAGCCTGTTTCTCTTGACTGAAATAGGCAGCATGCACCATTTCATTTTGGAAGAAGAGTCAAATGATGCCTCAAATTATGAAAGAACACACAAGAAAACTTGGGATAACAAAGAAGGTCAATAACCACCATTGTGTCACCAATTCTCCCTGACTGGGGTTTAGGTTTTGTCAAGCCAGCTAACACAAAGAAAGCCTGACTATGTTGCCATAGCACAGCCTTCCGGTCAAAATGTCCACATGGTAGCCTAAAGGAACAGGCAGGGATTCAAATCCAGCACACCTTTTGCCAGATTCAGCGATTATCTGTCAGTGAATATAACAGCCTGTTGTGTGTTTGGCCTGGGAAAAAAAAAATAAAAAACTGGTGTCCGCACACAGTCCTGGCTCGCTAAATAGGAAACAAATTAAGAGGCTTGGACCACTATTCAAGCGTGTCCTGTGCATGTTTGTGCTCATGTGCTAGACTGACAAAAAGGAGGACAGATGGGTGGAAAGGGGGCAGTAGGATCCACAGGGATGGTAAATCTGGTACATTACAACTATCTAAATATGCTAGCTTGGTAAATATCAACAATGTATATCCAGAATCACAGACAGCACCTTCAAAGTTGCAGCACGATGAGGGCCATGCGAAAATTTGGGAATATTTGAATCCTCTATCTATCAATGTATCTATCTATCTATGTATCTATGTATCTATCTGTGTATCTATCTATCTATCTATCTATCTATCTGATAGATCTTGGGAAACTGCAGCCAACATGGGCCAAGACATGCAGTAATTGTATTAAGCACCTATCTGAGGTACAGCTTCCGCACAATGAAGTGGATAGAAACAATCACCTTCTCTCTGCTACTCATCAAACAAGTGCAAACGGTTATAGATCTGCTTCCAACTGCAGCAAAGAAGGGTTCAAAAGGCAGGGGCTCAGGGACAGGAGGCTGCTGTTGGTTGAGGGGGGGATTGACTTATCAAATAAAGACAGAGACGAGGAGGGAACAGGGGATCTAGAATGGAGCACATTATCCAACAACCGTGACCTCTTAAATGGTAGCCATTGGTGTTTATTAGTGACCAGTTAGCCACTCTCTGCAGGATCCAGAGCTCGTCACTGGCAGCGGTGACAGCAACTCACCAACAGTTATTTTTTCTTCTTTCTAATGCCCTAAGGGGGGCATTTAATCCACCTACTCAGGGACAAGGGTCATAACATTATTGAGCAGTCATGCCCTTTGCTTTCCCCTCAGGTCCAACACCCCCACTGCATACACTGCAACATTTATACACATCATATAATCTGAATGGAATTAACGTGAATGAGAAATGTAATCTGACAGAAAACCGTACAGGATTCCTAATTTTTGAAGGTAAGAAGACACTGAGATCAATCACATCTGGACACTGCTGATGCAACTGTAAGCATCATGTTTTTTGACTTCTAAAGCACCTTCAATACAGCCAGGCCTGCTTTGTGGGAGCATGAGCAGGATGCAGGTGGACTATCATGGACTATCTCACCTGCAGACCATGGTACATGCACCCACAGAACCATGAGGGCTCAGCAGGACAGGTGCCCCACGAGGAACTGTCCTGTCTACATTCCTGTTTACCCCTTTATAGATTGGACTTCCAAAATGGCTACAGCTGTTTTCTCTAGAAATTCTGTCATGATTTCACAGTTGTTCCATGTATTAAGGAAGGATGTGAGGAGGAGTACAAGGGTTTTACTGAGGACTGAGAAAATATAGTCGGAGAAAAATTGTTCTTGAACAACATTGTCTTCTTTAACTTCCAATGCACTCGGTCCACCAATGTTTGAGTTCTGCTATCCCTTAGTGGAAAAATGTCTCATCTTAAATCTCCATATTCATCTTAACAGCACGCATGATTTAATCATCACAAAATGATGACCGTGCAATTGAGATTACAGTTTGGAACACAGATAGAAGTCATGGTCGGATTAGTAGGGTGCATGGGGCAACAGTTCAAGCCATATTTGGCTGATGGACGTATTTGTCTTGAAGCAACAGCGCCCAAATCGAAGGTTTCCTCTTCTTTATGCCCCACAATGGGAGTTACACCCCTTGTGTCTGGGTGAGGCAGACAAATTTTTGAAATGCCCTTGTAGGTGGACTCGCAACCATCTACACCAAAATATCATTAAAACTAAGGACGTACGTGGATTTCACAAGACAAAGGCCCAAACCTAAAACAGCTGCTCTTCAAGGTACTGAGAGGGAACTTGTCTCCAGCTACAGATACATAGAGGCAAAGCTTGACAACAAAGTGGACTGGATCCCCGACATGAAGGTGCTATATAAGAAGAGGCAAAGCCGCCTGTATCTCTGTAGAAGGCAGACGTCTTTTCACATCTGCAGATCTCTTTTGTGCACCTTCTATCAGACTCTAGTGCCAGTGCAATGTTCTTTGTTGTGGTGTGCTGAAGAAAGAGTGCTCGCACAGCAGACAAGAACAGGGTTTATAAACTGATCAGAAAGGCTCGCTCCATCATCGCGCCTCAAATGGACACTATATAGAAAGTGACAGAGGTGAGGATGCACTCCACACTGAAGTCAGTTATGAGAAATCCCTCACACCCACTCTATGCCCTGGAGGTGACTAAGCAAAGCCCCTTCAGTCACAGGCTGCAGGACTGAACGCTACAGGAGGTGCTTTCTATTAGCTGCCATCAGACTGTTTAATGGGCAGTAAAAGGAATTAACCCTGCTGTG